TTCAAATAAACCAAATTTCTTACACCTGGCTTTACCCCGAAGGGGTGCTGTTTAAATATAAAGAGAAAAGAGAAAAGATTGATTCGGTTTTTAAAGCAGAAAAATGGTTGAAGCAATTCTTCGGAATGAAAGAAGACGGGCAACCAGAAGAGGGCGCAGCAGCGAGTCTAGAAGAAGAGGACGAAGATCCAACAGGAGCAGAAGGAGCCGTGGCCAGAGAAACATATGATCTACGACTAAGAGTTCACAAGTAGCTCTCAAAGTCTCAAAGATTATGGCTGAAGAAGATATGAGACTTTGTACACACTGAGAAGCTAGCAGATTATTACTAAAATTGGACTCACTAACTCCTAAATTCATTGTTTTAAACGAAAAGTTATGTGTTTTTATGACTAACTGAATACTAACTATATTTGACCTTCCTTTCTTGGGTTTTTAGTTATAGTGTGGGTTTTCAGTTACTGTCCTGTTTCCTGGGGGTTTTTATTTTTTTTTTCCCCTTCCCATTTTTTCTTTCTTCCCTCTTTCTTAAGTAGTTGTGTAGTTGTAACAAAAAACCAATAAAACTACCCTGGTTTCAGGGGATTAAAAATCAAAATTTTTGTTCCATCCAATTACCTTTATACATTAGAATTCCCAAAACATAGCAGAGCCTTCACTCTGGCCACCTTCAATGTCTTCCCATCCGCCCTTCTTGAAGGGAGATATAGGCACATACCCCATGTGTGTACAGCATCTCTGCCCATGTCAGTGTGGAATGGTAGAAACAATCTAACATGTCCTCTTACCTCACAGTTTTTACCAGGACACTCGGAATACATACATCACTCCAATTCTGTCCAAATATCCAGATAGAGCGAATTACTTTTATACTTCTCTTCTTCTCGACGACCATTTTAATGAAACTATCCTTAAGGTAGCAAGATTCTTCACCCTGGCATACTCAACAAGGCAGAAGAACGAGGTTTAGTATTTTAATAATGTTATTATTGCTATTTTTCAATTAATTTTTTTAATTGACTTCAAAATCTTACAAATTATTTACAAGTTATTCTACAACAGAAAGTGAATTTAACACTCTTTGATAATAATCTTCTACACGTTGCCAATTCTATTCTGCCTCTAGTTCATTTGTAAATAATAATAATTAATTAATCCAATTGAAATTGGCACGCCTAAGTTAATATTTCTGCCTCTCAAAATTACTCCACTACAAATGCACTTATAAACTCTATCTCCCATAATTTCCCTTTGGATCTCCTTATGTTTATAACCACATATTCTATATATATTTAGTTTCTAAATCATTGTGATAAGATGAATTGCAATAACGTAAGGTAGAAACTAAGATACAAAAAAGAAATATATTCCTCCATTTCTTTACTCTGCTCTCTTAAGATCTTTTACTAAATTCTGTTCTTCCTCTTAGCTGGAGCTCTTCTAATTGGCGTTCCCTCCCCCGGGACTCCGGAGCAATTCCAGAGAAGACTCTCACAGATAGTCTTGCCCATTGGGGAGGTGTGTGTGTGGGTCTCCCAATAGCCCTACCCGCGTGCTCCCCTACACATTATATTCCAGGCTACTTTACTTAGGGAAAAATACATAAGGCAAAAGGGGAAAGGGGAAAAAAATGACTCTTTAGCTGCAATCTCCTCTGGTGTAGGTCTTTGCAGTCTTCTGCTGTGTTCCTCTTCTTTTGGTTACCAGTTCTTGGACTCCTAACCGGAGTCCGATTCCAGCACATTCAGAAGCTCTTTGCCAGATGTTAAATCATGGGCTGTGAATGTTCTTCCTTGGTATGTGACTGATATATGTCCAAGCAGACTGATATATGTCCAAGCCAACAATACCTGAAGTTCTTCTCTGCAAGCTTTTGTGCAGTTAGGCACATATTTTTCCTGGCATTTAATATTTCAAAAGGAATAACTGGAGTCTTGTGAGCACAAATTTTACTTTGTGAGCAAGCAATTTGGCCGCTGCATAAATTAGTTTGCTATGGAGCCATCCTTCCTGAGCGAAGACAAAATGTGTGAGCCGGAGGCTAAAAAACTGTGAGCTGGCTTAGGGGGAACACTGCTCATGGTGGATCACCTAATATCCTGGGCTGGCCAAAAGGTTTGCCTTGCAGGATGGACAGTTCCACATGGGCTCTTTCCTGAGGCTTGCATTTCAGCAGCATTTCAGCTTGTACTTGCCTGCATACCAAAATGGTCTAGTAAGAGGAGAAGATGCTCCACTGTCATCTCCCACACATACCGTGCGGATAAAATTAGGATTTGAGCAGTAAAGTCCCAGCCCTGAAGTGATCCTCTCTCCAACTCTCCTGACTTCTCAGGCACAACAGACTGGCTTCAGAAACCACTTGCCATCAATAGATGCCTTGGGATATTCCCCAAATGTAGGTGAATAGATCCCCCTCTATTCCATCCTACCCACGTAGGGCATATAAAGATAAAGGTTTCCCTTGCTTGAAAGCCAGTCGGATCAGGGCCAGTCCTGTAACATGGATGTTCGAGTAGTATAGTTGGTTGTCATTCACACAGTAAAAATCCAGTTGGAAAGCACATTGAAAGTGGATTGAAAGTGGATCATTTAGTGTGTGTGAGCGCAGCCATAATTTCACATTGAAGTTCTGTACAATCACTCAGCAGTGACATCCTAAGTGCAGTTACACTCTGAAGCTCATTCATTTCAATGGAGTTAGAAGAGTGTATCTCTGCTTAGGATGGCACTAGAGAAGAGCATTGCTAAACAGGTCTACTCAGAATCCTTCGCAGATCTATTCTATGGAGTTTACTCCCAGGAAAGTGTTCTTGCCATAGCACTGGAGCTGTTTTTATTTGGCCTCTCAGCCGAATTGCAAGTCAGTGTTGTTGGAGATGTTCGGCTGAAACGTTTCAAATAAAGAAATAATAGAACAAAGAAGTAAATGGCATTTCCCTGATTGTTTGTTTTTAAGGCCTCGAACTCTGGGAAGGGCAAGGCTTCCTCACGTGCAAACACTGGGATTTGGTATAGGCTTCCCATTAACATGTGTGCAAAAGATCCCATTTAATCAAACTAAAGCGGTTGTAAAGCTCTCGATAGAATTATTTAATGCAATTAGCAGCCGGAGAGACTAACCTACAATAAGTGCTAAATTCAGCTCAATTACACATCATAGTATCCATAATATTGTGCTATTAGTAGTACAGAATAAAGTAATGGACTTTTGAAAGTGCCTTCATGGTGCTGATTGCAATGAAATAAAAATGGTTGACAGGAATACAAAACATTATCCTGGTAAGCCTCAAAAATCAATTAAATAGAGATTTAGAAATTTAAGAGGCTGAATACCAATTAGACCAGCGCTAACTGGAGTAACTAATAGCCTGAATACGACCCAAACACACCCAACAAGACTGATGGTGGGGATATTATTTTTCCTTAAATTCCCTACATACTCTGCCACAGAGCAGGGAGATGAGATTAGAATAATATTACCCAAAGCAACGTAGACCCAGGTTTTACTTCCCTATGCTCAGCTGAAGCTACTAAGAAGTAGAGATGGGCACAAGCTGGCTAATGAGCTAAAGTTCCTCACAAATTTTCGCTGGTTCATGATTTCCGATGTTCGTGAAAGAGTGCCCGGCCCAAACATTTCACGAACTTTGATGCTGTTTGTGGCAGTTCATGAATGGATCTATTTCCAGACAGACTTCCTGTGCTCAACTCAATTGTTTACAAAACTCCAAGGCAACAGGGGGAGCACAATTCTCCAGCCTCGGAAACACCAATAGGGACCCTCGAAAGCTTAACAGGCACTGCTGGCTGCCAATAACAGAGTTTGCATTCTGCTGTATGGGATCAGAAAGCGATATATTTGCTCAGCTCCACTGCACACCCTTTTGTTTGTTGGCTGTTTGCATTGCAGTTACACAGAGAGGCAGGGAACTTGTTAAAAGATGACAACAGAGCACATTCAATTATTCCTTCCTGATAGTGAACTCCTCTTCCCTGCTGGAGTTTGGGTGCTAAGTAGACTCAGGGCTTTACCGGGTGCCTTGTCTGAGTGAGGACCCACGTTTTATACCCTCCTGGTTGTGAACTATTCTCCCTGCAGGGGTTTGGGTGTTAGGTGGACTCAGGGCTCTTTGCCACACTGTCTCTCTGCTCACATCGAGTGGTGGGCTTGGCTGCTGGGTGCCTTGGCTGAGTGAGGATCCATGTTTTATACACTCCTGATTAAGAACTGGTCTCCCTGCTTGGATTTTGATGTTAGGCGGTATCTGAGGTGGCCTTGGCAGTGCTCCCCAGCCCCAGAGCATCCCTAGAAACCAACTGAAGCATGTGCCGTAGGCAGAAGATGCCCTTGAGATGCACACACTTCACCTCTGCCAGCATTTTGGCGCTGGTGCCCATAACCATATAGCTTTGCACTATATTGCAGCTGCCCACCCACTCCTTCAGGCTTCTCTGAACCTCACATGGTGGCAATGTTTTGCATTGTGTGGTCTGAATCCATCCTCTGCACATGAAGCACCCCACTTTTAATCTGGTGGCAGGACTGTCCCCTCCTGGGGCCTGGGCCTTGCTTCAACAGTTCTGCTGGCTGCTCCAGAGGTCTTCTGTGAAGTGCTTCTGTGAGTTTGGTGTCTCTAGCACCCAGGGTGGGGGGGGCATTCTACTGCATCACAAACCTCACAAAGGGAGCCAGTTTGACTATCTTAAATAATTTAGTGACAGGCCATGGTTCACCAGCCACACACTCCATGAACCAAACCACGCTTTCCCAGTTCATGCCCATCCCTATTAAGATGACTTTTGCAGTTACGCAGGGCCTGTAAGACGGAGCTCTTCCACCAGGCTTTCACATAGGGGCCGCCACTACCACCGCCAACATCAAGGCTAAGGATGGCCCGGGAAGATCTGCCACAATTTTTGCGTGACTGATACCACCGGACCTTCTTGCTTCGGATCGGCTACAGGTCAACATCATCTCCGGAGAACTGTCTGTTTACCTTCATGGCATACATCCGGGGACCATCTTGCGTTCAACTGAGTATTATTGTTGTTGTGATGAATTGTTATTAATGTTTTTATTGTTTTTACCTTGTTTTATATGGGTGTTGCCCCTTGTAAGCCGCCCTGAGCCCGCTTTGCGGGGAGGGCGGGGTAAAAATCCCAATAAATAAATAAATAAATAAAAAACAAGATGTCCTCCTTCACAAACCCAACTTCAACGAACGGGGGCAGTCAGGATCATGTGTTCCCATCTGAGAACTGTTAATACAGTGGCCTTCAAATCTGCTTCACTGTGAGATAACCATTAGTCATACAAATTTGCACATCAACACATCTTCCAAGAGGACCCGCTGTGCCCACCATGGGATCCAGTGCTGTGAGAATTCTAGGGATGATGAAATGATCTAAAGGTTCCAAATCTCACCAATGTATCACATGTGCTGGAGGGATTCCTGAAATTGTAACAGTCCCCTGTAACTGTACATTTCAGGTAGAGATGTAATGGTGGTCGATAGGGTTTCCAGCCCTTGGCAACCCCAGGAGACACCAGACAGGCAAGAAGGAGGAGGAAGAGAAGATTGGATTTACACCCCACCCTTCACTCAGAGTCTCAGAGCGGTTTACAAACTCCTTTCCCTTCTCCTCCCCACAACAGATGTCCTGTGAGGTAGGTAGAGCTGAGAGAGCTCTTTCCACAACTGTCCTTGAGAAAACAGCTATGCCAGAACTATGGCTTGCCCAAGTTCATCCAGCAGCTGCAAGTGGAGGAGTTGGGAATCAAACTCAGTTCTCCCAGATTAGAGTAGAGTAGATTAACCACTACACCAAGCTGCCTTCTATGGAATCAGACACACACACACACCCCGATCCATCAAGGTCAGTATGGTCCACTCAGATTGGCAACGGCCCTCCAGGGTCTCAAGCAGAGAAAGGCTTTTCACATCACCTGGCTGCGTGGTCCTCTTAACTGGAGATGGTGAGGATTTAACCTGGGACCTTCTGCATGCCAAGCAGAGGCTCTAGCTAGGGGTGTGCAAAAAAAAAAAGTAAAATTCGGATTCGGATTTTTTGAACCCGAATTTTTTCGGGATTCCCGGAAAAACCTGAATATCTATACCGGTAAAGCCCCATATTGTGCCAAATAGGTGATAGGATATAATGGTGCTGAATTGCTGCCGAATTTCGGCGGTAAACTGGCAATAGGCAGGCAAGGCAGCAAGCTGATCTGGGGGCACACATTTGGATGCCCCTGGAATTGGACCCCCTGGACCAATCTTCTCAAACTGTGGGGGTCATTTGGGGAGAGGCTGGAGCAGCCACGGTCCAAATTTGGAGCCTCTACCTCAAACCCCCTCCCCCCCAGCCACCTGCAAACTTTCCAGAGGATTTTTGCCATTGATTTCAATTGCCCCATTGTATATAATGGACCCGAATTTTTAGGATTTCCCAAAAAAAATTCGGATATCTATGCTTTACCGGTATAGATATTTGGGTTTTTTCGGGTTTCCCGAAAAAATCAGGTTCAATAAATCCGAATCCAAATTTTACCGATTTTTTTTTTTGCACACCCCTAGGCTCTACCTCCTGCCTTTCTGTGCAGGAGGATGCCCACTAAAGTAGGCAGCCTGGCCACCCTAGTGGCCAAGGTGCCATTCTGATGTTGTCAGTGAGGAACCCTTGATAAACCTCTAAGGAATCCTCGGGGTTCTGTAGGACACAGATTGGAAACCTGTCTGCTCATGAAAAAGAAGTCTGTCTGTCTGTTTGTTTGAATATTTGGCAATAAACGTGAGGCATCTGGGGTTCAGAGGAGTTCACCTATGCCAGCTGTATTATCAGCTGTATTATCAGCAGTGAGGCAGGGGGAGAGGGCTTCCTTGGTGCCAGGCAACTCTCAACTAAATCCTAGCTGCTGTTTGGCATGGGGAAGGAGTTCAGAACCTTTCAGCACTCAGTTCTGTGCAGAAAATAAATATGGTCCCAAAAATGTTGTCATTGCCACTCTATTAACAATAACAATACAGTAAAAAAAATTTGAAAAAAAATCCTAGCACTTGAGGTTAGAAAGAACTGAAGCCTTCATTTACATTCTCTGCTAAGAGGCCTCAGTCCAGAATGATCTAATTTAAACTGCTGGAAACTCCCACCTGAATATACAGGAAGGAAACTAAAGCAATTTTCAGACTGTGCTCAGTCCTTCTGATAGACATGATCACCATTTTATATTAATGGGGCAATGCATATATTTTTCATGTGCACACTGCTTCCATACACCGCAAATGAAATCCCAGACTTTCGAGGATACACAACACACTTTTGTGCATATCAAAGCACTACTAAAACTGCTAACTGGAAAACACACACACACACGCCCTGCTTTTCCTCTTGGCTCAAGGTGAGTTGTGAGTGTATTTGAAGGAGGGGGAACAGCACACATAGCAAAAGCTATGATCTGTTTTTACTTCTTAAATAATGAATGATAGAAGTGTTCGGACAGGATCCAGACGGCTGATAGAAGGGTGCTAGGCTCCTTCTTTTGGCGACTCTTGCCTGTTTTTACCATAGAGATGGGAGGATTCCTAGAGCATCATGAAGTCACTTCCGGGTATGACTAGGGTGATGCTGTCACACTCCATGATGTCATTTTGCTCCCCATGGTTGTTCCCACTGGAGTGATGAAGCCTGCTGGCCACATCCCCATTTTATGGGCTAGAGTTCGCTTCTAGATGTGTCTGATGAAGTGGGTTCCATCCAGGATACCTTATGTGCTAGAATAAAAAGTGGCACAAGACTTCTGTTTACTTTTGTAGTAATATGGATACTCCTACATTATTTGGAAAGTATATGGGTTTGGAAGGGGCTTCAGAGGTGGCTATGAGAAAGAGAGAGAGACTTCAGTCCTAAGAACACTTTCCTGGGAGAAAGACCCATTAAATAAAATGTTATCTGATTGCTTAGAATTGATTCCTGTTTAGGATTGATTCCTGTGTTGGTATCTATATCACGGTCACCACACATTAATAATTTTGGAAGTTCATATTTTGGGAACTTGTTCCATAAAAACCAGAAAAAGATCTCATCTGTATATTATGTGAAGAAAGAAAACCCTCCCCTTAACAAAAGTGATGGGACTTTCGGTTTATGGCGACATGCAGGCAGACGTATCTCCCGGACGTCCCGGGGATGCAAACTGCACACCAGCGTGTAGGAGTGGGTGCGACGGGTCGTGACCCCCCCGAGCCTTGGTAAAAGGCTCATAACCAGGGGGCTCTCTAAGGGTGACCTCTTCGATGGCACGATGACAGAGAATTGAGGTGCTCCTCCACCCTGAAGTCCTGTCGCTGAGTGACTGCATGGTACGAGTGCTGCTGACCGGGACAAGCATCGGAGATTGGGCAGAAAAAAATGATGCCGAGTGAGGCTGGTTGGCCAACAACGAACTGTGAGTCAGGTTGAAGTGAGCATGAAGAAATAAAAAGAAAGCTGCCCCCCTTAAAGAGTGATGGAAAGCGAGTGGGGAAGGGGCCCCTCCCAAACACATAAACAAAAACACGGAAATAAATAAAGAGGGGGAAGCAGAAAAATAAGTGGCTAAATCTGTTTTAAGAGACTTACCAGAGCGCAGATAAGCATATGGGCAAATATCAGATACTTTAGCAACTTTAAGAAAAACAAATAATCCAATAAGATGGCGGGGAAGAAACCAGATAAAGAAAAACTGTTGAAAGCGAAACTAGTGGGCAGTTCTCAAATGGAAGAGACCACTGAGCTTTCTAAACTGCTGTCAGATTTCTTGCGCCCTTTGCTGATGGAGATGACTAATATCAAGCAACATTTGTCAACAATTGGTCAGAGTTTGGCTTCACAGCAGCTACAATTGACTAAATCTTTAAATGCAATGGAGCAAATGGCAGAGAAGATGAAGGAAATGGACGCCAATACTACAAAAGTCAAGAAAAAGGAGCAAAAGCTGGAAATGAAACAAGCTACGGAAGAGTCACAACTTTTGCAGCTGCAAATGGAGAAAGCAAATTTGGTCCTATGGTTCCAATGGGTCCCGGAAAACAAAGGAGAGAATCTGAAGCAACTGCTGAGTGATGCAATGACCCCATTGACAGATTTGACAGTGGAATATTTGTACAGCGAGATGGATGTGGTCTACAGGTCCTATTCCTTATATAGCAAGAAAAATAATCTGCCTGGAGAAATAGTAGTCAGATTCTCGAAGAGACATGTAAGAGTTTCTATTTTGAAAGCAACTACAGGAACACCCTTGAAAATCGGGGAAAACAACATCAGGATTTTAAAAGACATGCCATTTGAAATAAGACAGAAAAGAAAGAAATATAAAGACTTAATCCTTTTCTTAAAAACAAATGGCATGAGTTACGGATGGTTAATTCCAGAAGGCCTCATTTTCAAGCTCCACGATAAAAAAGAAAAGATTGGCTCTGTTTTTAAAGCACATGAATTCCTGAGAACACGGCTGGGGGAACCAGTGGAGGACAAGAAGGAAGAAGAAGAAAGCAAATCGGATGGCGAGTTAGGCTCGGTGTCTTCTGATGAGGACTCTCTCTCTGAAAAAGGGGCGGCAGCCCCCAAAAGTCCATATAAATTGAGGATAAGAAAATAAGAGAAAATAAAGGCTGAAGGACTCTGAATTGTGCCTGAAAATTTAGAATTAACTTTGTAATGCTCTGATGGTTTCATTTAACAGATAAATGGATGGTTAAAAGATAAATAACTTAGCATAACCGACTAGGTTCAATGTATTACTAGCATTTTAGAATAATATTGAAATAAGCTGATGTATTGGTCTCCTACTCTTGGGGTTTTAGTCATTAGTGGGTTTCTTTTCTTTCTCCTTAGAGGTAGTTTCCCTTCCCTTATTTTCAGTTGTAGTTTGTAGTGTTGTAAAAAACCAATTAAAAACTCCCCTTAGGGGGATGCAAAAAAAAAAAAGCGATGCACTGCTGCCTTCAGTTTTAAAACAATGTGTTGGGTTGGCATG